GATGACTGACTCTGATCTTGGGAGGTGGTTGTGGATGATGATCCATTGCTGACCCCACTGCTAAACTCAACCAACCTCCCTGCTGTACCCTGTCCTGTAATTCATGATGGAGCACCTTCCAGTCTTCTTATAGGGACATCCAATGACTGTAAACATTGAGCAGTGAAACCTAGCAAGCTTTTAACCAGCTGCCCTCTTACACTGAACACTGAGACTCTTCCTGAAGAGGCAGGTCCAAGAGCTGTACTGCTGGACAAGAAGGCTAGATGAAAGCCAGAAGATGGAGAGCTGTATGTGATCCTAGCACCCCTCATATTGGTGCAGTCTATTCGCTGTAAATATATTGTCGCAGACTGCCCTGCACCTTACATGATCTACATGGGTCAAGTGCATATGTACCACCCGCACTAGCACTACATCTGCCCCTCCTCATCTGTTCTTTTCTCAGGTATACCAGAAAAAAATTATTTTTTTTTCTTCCAGTGTCCCCCAAAGCATAGATACACATAATGCTACCCCCCTTCGCTGTGCCTGCTCTAACGTCATTTCAATTGGTAACTTGGGCCTGACTTTATGGCTACACTTCAACCGCCGTTCCCCTGTACATGTAGGCAGACTCCTGGTCAGCCGGGCTTAGCCAGGACATCAGGAAAGTCAGGCACAAGTAATAGGGTGAAACTAAAGGACCTCTGAAAAACATAGAATGGATATCAGTCTCCGCAGAGCACTGGACCGTTCACTCCACACCAGGGGTGGACTGACAACTCATGGGGATCATGGGGCCCTGTGTCCTTGCCCAAACTCAAAAAACCCTATGAAAAAGGTACCAGGGGCATCTCATGGGGCCCCCTACTGACCCCGGGCAGTGCCCGAGTTTCCAAATGGTCAGTCCGCCCCTGCTCCACACCATGTGTGTGCTTTGTATGCCATTAAATGCAGGCCATGGTGCAGAGTCTGCAGTGTACATCGGGGTGTCCTCTGCAGAATGCTATAAAGAAGGATCAATGATGGAAAGACAGGTCATGTGACCAGGCTATCCTATAATTTTTGCTTTCATTTATGATGTTGAATGTGGCTTTGCTTGCTTCGGCTCTCCTTAGCTTTTTCTTTTAAAGAAATGGCAAGACCATACCACTGCTTTATACCTGGCCCACTAAATAATGGAGGGGCACAGAAGATAGCATCTTGTTGTATCTACCCCTAGAAAAGACTTTATAAAACTTAAAAAATGGAGTACAGGTTCACTTTAATAGACTGAAATTCAGAGTTCCTGTCTGCCGCCACAATTACAACGAATCTTTCCTTCCCTTTTAGATACTTCTACATTTAGATATTTCTGAAGATGCAGCATTAGGATCGAGACTCCGTTTCTTGGCATCACAATGGCCTTGATGGCAAAGTTGGGTTTCCTCTTGTCTGGGAAATTCCAGTGACTTTGTTTTGGCCATCCACATTTTATTAAGATATCAGTTTTGGGTGGAACTGGTCTGTTAACCGCAATGGGTCTCATTTATCAAAGTATCTGAAATAAACGCGGTAAGCTCAATTCACCACTTTAAGGCCTTGTTCACACCATGTGCAGAGACGTCGGTTTTTCTGCAAGGGCACAAAGAAAACAGTTGTTCTCTATGTGTCCTGTTCACACCACAACACTGGTGTCACATGCAGATTGTTCCTGCGCAGGAATCTGCAAGGTGTATAACACTCAATGAATTGCACATGAAGTCTGCGTGTTTTTTTTCCATCAGTTATTTTTTTTGTTTGTTTTTTGTGTGTGAAGGAGGCCTAACTTGTTAATTTAATAGTGAAAATATTTGCAGAATAATGCTCAGTCCCTAAACATCAGTATCACCCTAGTGCCCTCAAACTGATTCTTTCCCTGAGCTCCTCTGTAAACTCTTTACCTGCTGTCTGGGCAATTTTGTAAATTTTCCGTACATGTTAAAATCAGCAACTTTTGCTAGAAAATAAAATAGAACTCCGGATCATTATATTTTCTGAAAGCTGTGGCCTTGGAGAATAAAAGGGTGGCTGTAGCAATAATGATGTCACGTGATATTTGCGCATTCGGTAATCAAACACAATTTTTATTTTTGTAGAAAAAAGTACATTAAAGTGAATTTTACTGCACACACACAAAATAATACCAATGTTTTTGGTAAGATGATGTTACATTGAGTAAATTGATACCAAACATGTCAATATTTAAATATGCTCTCACTCGTGAAATGACGGCAAACTACAGCACCTAATATTGTCCATAGGTGACACTTTAAAAGCCATTACAGGCTATCAGTTGGGAGATGGTCGTGAATTATTGCTCTCACCCCAACATTCAGGCGATACCTCCTGTAGGGCGCAATCCCTGTTTACTTATGTGTGCAGGACCTCCATGTGTGTTTACATTTGCACGTATGCACACGAGACAGGTGTGCTTTTAATTTTTGTTTTTAATTCTTTTTATTCCATTTATTTAATATATTTGATCATTTTTATATTTGTATCTTTTCACATTTTATTATTTTTTTTTTCCATCTAACTTTCCTTCACCATCGAGGAGATCAGAGAACAGATGTTCCTTAATCTCCTCTGTGTGAAGACGTGCCTATTACTATTTACGTACTTACTATGGGCAGTGACCTTTCTCATTGCTGTAAAAGTAATCCAGCGGCTGTAAAGCCTCCTGGATCACTTTTACAAAGCAGCCGATTGCCAGCTGAAAAAAAAAAACAATATTATGGCTGCCATTGCAGCTATGGTCTTGTGCTAACCACTTGGTGACAACCATTTGCAGATGTATGTATGTAAACGTCTTGTCAACAACCCAAAGCTAGCATAGTTATATGAATGTCAGTAACCTGGACACAGGTTCACTTTATATCTTTTATTAACAAGCCGTAAACAAGCTTTTTCATTGACCTTTGTAGTTGCAAGTACCATGGAATGATTCATTCTCAAATTGTACAACAGATGCACATTTGTTTTCTGTTTCTTTTAGCTGCTGCTCCCAGAAATGATTTAGCAGCTCTTACTGCAGCTACAGAGGTCAGTGAGTTTTAAATCTTATTTACGGTTTTAAATGTGTAAAGATATCCTGTCCTATTTCAGCACAGGCTCACTCTAAAGCAGAACTCCACCCAAAAGTGGAAGTTCCGCTTTAAGGCCTCCTTTCTCCATCTTCTTTCACATTTGGCAATCTTTTTGAGGTGGGGGGAGGAGTGGTTTTGACAGATACCGGCTCCCACTTCCAGTCAGATCAGCTAGGCCAGGGGTGTCAAACTGGCGGCCCTCCAGCTGTTGCAAAACTACAAGTCCCATCATGCCTCTGCCTTTGGGAGTCATGCTTGTAACTCATTCTTGCAATGCTTCATGGGACTTGTAGTTTGGCAACAGCTGGAGGGCTACCAGTTTGACACCTGTGAGTGAGGTGATCCAAAGTTCTCCTTCGCTCCCCCTGCAGTCTTCTGGGACACAGCACAGTTCTCAGAAGACTGCGGGGCCAATCACAGTGTGCAGCGCAGCTCGCACATGTGCAGCGGGCACCCTGCCTTTAAGCTGCAAGCTGTCACAGCCGGGTGCCCACAGCTAAGATGCCGGTCTCGGGGACCAAAGGTGGTACTGGACGCCCCCTCACGTGAACACACCGCTGGATCTGGGGACAGGTAAGTGTTTTAATAAAAGTCAGCAGCTGAAGTTTTTGTAGCGGCTGACTTAATTTTTACAAACGACTGGAGCTCCTCATTAAGGTGACATAAGTAGTACGGTGATATTTCTGAATTCACTTGCAGTCAAAATAATTGACAAAACAACGAGTGTGCAATGTATTCATCTAATCTGTGCAGTGACGACCCCCCCCCCCCCTTTTTTTTTCTTTTTTCTTTTTTTATAAACACCTCTTCTTCAATCATTTAGTGCTACAAACAGTAATAAAAGCTCCACCTGGTTTATGCTGCAGTGATTCGAGTCTAGCTTGTATTGTCAGATGGGACAAGAGCAGATTCTATCTTTTCAGTGTCCAAATCTGATTGGTTGTGACAAGCAACACATCATTATAAGTCCAGCCACTTTGATCAATGTGATCCATTGTAGTTAGAAGCTGCTGCACCCTAGAGGCAGAAATCCTAACTACAGCCTAGAACTATCGGCACACCACCCAACGCTGCCAGACTGCCTTCGGTGGCTCCATCTCCTCCCCCGGATGCTTTATTCTTTACACAATTCAGACATTCAATGTATATATTAAATACACTACATGCAATAACTAGTAATGATGAAACCGCAGATTGCCCGATGATGCCAGCAGCAGAAAGCCTTCTCCGTTTGTACATAGATCTTAGGGAGCTGCCATGTACTCTGTAGAGTAGAGAGATCTGCAGGAGTTCGGTTACCTGTCATGGACATCATTAGGTGTTTGTAGGACTCAGTGGAGGGTTTAATGCTGCTACAACCCCCCCCTCAATATACCAGTCTTGCACAGCGAGGGGAAATTCAGCACTGTTGTAATGAAAGAGATGTATTATAAAATAAATATATGTATTTACATGACTTATATTGTTTCTTCTTTTTTCCATCAAAATTGCTAGTTGCAACATGCTTAATACACAGCTATAAGGGAGCTGTTGTACCTGCCGAACAATATGTATTTCTGTCCAGCTACTCCTGCGATTTACACAGCCATATACATTACACTGTTTTCTGATCCAGGTGTCCACTGTTGAAGGAATACAGTGGGGTTGTGTTGTTCTGTCTCTCCAATCTAAGCATTGAAAGTGTGATCTCTGTAACTTACAGTTGTGATGAGATAGCGATAACTCCAATCTTAGTTGAATAACAGGCAGTGACTCGATCCAGATGACACCTTGTAGATCTTGTGAAGTTTATTCCATAAACAGAGAATCTTACAACAATGAACATCGGATAGGTCAAAAGATCATAATGTGATCTGCTTCATTAGACATGAGGCTTGAAGCTGAAATGCATTACTGGGAAAAAAGGGTGAG